TGAGACTAGCTCTAGCTCGGAATCTCAATCAGGCAATCATAAGAGAAGGCTCACTGGAAGGCTCTTGAGATAGCTGCAGTGTGTTAACTTTGTATGGCAATGTATATAAATTCTAGAAACAATAAATGTTCTTTTGCAAATACAAAAAAAATAATAATAAATGCATGAAGTGAGGGGGGGATATGGAGGTGGTGGTGGATCTGAGAGGAGACAGGAGAGAGAGGTCTGAAAGTGATCAAAATACATTATTCTTAAAGAATCAATAAAAAGGGGGCTGGAGAGATGGCTCAGCAGATAAAAGTATTGGCTGCCCTTGCAGAGGACCCAGATTCTGTTCTCAGCACCCACATGGTGGCTAACAACTGTCTAAAGCTCCAGTTTCAGGGACTCCAATGCACTCTGGCTTACATAGACATTTCACACACACACACACACACACACACACACACACATACACACACACAGGTGTACTTACATATGTGTAAGGAAAACACTCATACACATAATAGAAAAATAAATTTTAAGAATCAATAAAAATATTAATTTAAAATTTTTAATACAGATGTCTAGATCTTTTAATGATATGTTTGCTAAAAGTTTCCTTCCATATTATATCAAAGAATTCTGGAAGAATAATTATTTTAGAGGCTGGAGAGATGGCTCAGCAGTTAAGAGCACTGACTGTTCTTGCAGAGGACCTGGGTTCTATTCCCAGTACCCACATGGCAGCTATGATCCATCCTTAACTCTAGTTCCAGGGGAATCCGAAGCCCTCTTCAGATCTCCACAGCATTGCATGACACGGGTGCACTCACATACAGGCAGGAAATACACTCATACACATAAAATAAAAATAATAAAATGTTTTTTAAAAAAAGAATAATTATTTTTTAAAAGGAGTTTCCTTCCCCCACATCACCAGAGAGGCATAGTAGCTGGTAGGAGCTCTCAGGCAATTCCAGAATGCACTGTTAGCTCCAACCACAAAGGGAGATTTGATCGTTTTACCCCACTATTATCATACCTCCAAGTCAACTCAAAAGACACATATCATGAGTAAAAACTACTATTCAGTTCAGTTTAATGATACAAAACTTCTACCTGCCTATCATCAAACTATTTCAAATAAACATGCAAATCTAGTAAAAAAAAATGTGTTTGCTCTGAAATTGAAAGTTCAACTTTAAGACAGATTCTTTAACAAGCTCTGCCCACTTTACAGAGAGATGTTTTGTAGTTTCCATTAGTGCCTGGCACTTTCAATGGCAATTTCTACATTTTTCTGACCTGAAAGTGTTGAATGTAGAGCCAGAATTTGACTGACTTAAGTAGAGTGAGAATTATTTTTATTTAATATATATTTTTTGAGTTTTGTGTATTTAATACCCAATATCTTAATTATCTTTATACCCCTTTCCCCACCGACACCCTCCCAACTCCACCCCCACACATACAGTGGATTTCATGCATTCTGTCATTTATGTTAAGCCCTATCCAGTCAAGTTAGTGTCCCCTAACATCTTTCAGTACAAGTTCATCCTCTGGGGTCTAGTCAACCTATCTAGAGTCACTCCCTTAAAGAAGATCAGCTCCTCAACCAGTAGTAATCAGCTTCTTCTGCTGCTAAGATTGGGGCCTGCTGACTTTTCCATGGTTATATGCTGGGTTTTATCTGCTTCAGTTTGCATGGATCTTATGCATGCTGTCACCATTGCTGTAAGTTCATATGAGCAAGCTCCCAGGAATCTGTAAGATTCTATTTCCATAAGATCATGCACCCTGGCTCTTACAATCTTTCTGCCCCCTCTTCTGCAATGGTCCCTGAGCCCTGGGTTCATTGCCCTTTGTTGCATGAGGGAACGTCGCTTACGAGAGTTGAGAGATGCATTAGTATTCCCGCTACCCTTTGTTCCACCATGTTCCATGAGTCTTAGGTGTACAGTTTTTGTTGTAGATGTGTCACTTAGGGTTGAACATTTCACAAACACCAAATCTCTGTATATGACCAGTTGTGGAACTCTGTTACTCTCTCTATGTTACAAAAGAAGCTTCTTTGATGAGTGGTAGCTGGCATACTTGTCTGTAAATATAAGGATACAGAGGGCCTGCAGAGATGGCTTAGCAGTTAAGAGCACTGACTGCTCTTTCAAATGACCCAGGTTCAATTCCCAGCACATACATGGAGGCTAACGACCATCCATAACTCTAGTTCCAGGAGATCAGATGCCTTCTTCTGATTTCTGTGGGCATTGCACAACACAGGTGCAGTTACACACATGCAGGCAATACACTCATACACATAAAAAAGTAACAAAACATTTTAATGTATATGGATCCATATTTACCACATAGTAAAAAATTACATTTGTCTAGGAATGTGACAGTCTTGGGGTTTTCTCTAAGATTTATGACCTCTCCAGCCATGTGTATTTGGCTATGTTTACAGTACTACACATGAGTTCCCTCCCATTGAGTGACTTTAGGTCCAATTAGGTAGCTGTTGATTATCCCCAAGGTAAAAGTGCTACTACTGCACCAGTATAGTTTGCTGTACCAGTCATTGTTGTGGTTATTAGGCCTTAAAGGTGGGGTTGGACCATCGATTGATGTTCTCCTTTAGCAGCTTGTATAGTGTTCTCCAAAACTTAGAAAGCTAGCCTTCAGGGAGGTGACTTCCAGGTCAGTTCCAGCTCCATTGCTCCAAGTCCTGTGGCCAAAGAGTGTTCTGTCTTCAGCAATAGGGATTTACCTTCAAGTTCTGGGAAGTAATCAAAGGCTGTGGCAATAGCCTGTGCAATTTCAGGAGTCTCTTGAACTACCCTGGCCAACAACCAGAAGGGAGGATTTTCCTGTCTGGCACTGTTTCTTGTTATATAGCCTTCAGCTACACACATGGACTCATGCAGAGGTGTTGTATGAGTAATTTTTCAGTAAGTTTTTGAACTAATACATTTCCTTCTGGTTTTTTACACTAATTAGGTATTATTTATCCCTCCTCTCTCACTCCCTATCTAACCCTCTCTCCTCCTTCCCCAGTTAAAATGCCCCATTTTCCCCATTTCACCCTTAATAATACCTGTCTCCTGTGGTCCTCCCCATTCTTCAGCTCCTTCCTGCCCTTTTTCCCCATAGTTCCTTCATACAACTGCCTCTAAAACTGGTCCAGGGTCACTTAAAAACATGTATTCCCTAGAAAAGATGCAGGTACCCAAGACAAGTGTCTTCCAAATCAAAGTACAAACAAGGCTTTTCCCAGAGACAAATCTAACTGAAGATGAGTTCACAATAAAAATTATAAAACACATAAGGAAACCAACAGTCCTGATAAAACAGACATAGTTGAGGGAGGATTTACATCTGTGAAGAATTAACAGAATGATCTAAACCCAAATTTTATAAATATGTGTATTATTAATGTACTTATTATATGGCAAAAGAAAAAAAGCATTATAGAAAGACTCTTGAGAAAGAAAAATCAAAACAGAAGAAATTTCTAGAAACTGTGATAGAATATTTTTTTCTTCTTAAACTACAATGCTGAAACTTCAGTGCCAGGCATGGCGGCACACACCTTTAATCCCAACACTCAAGAGGCAGAGACAGGTGGATTGTTGTGAGACAGAGGCCAGGCCAGGCAGGGGACCCTGTCTGAAAAGAAAAAGAAATTCTAACTTCAAAGGTGATAGTATTAATAGGTTAAATACTTGGGAGATAAATGGGACATAAGGGCACTAATGAAGAAAACCCTGGAAAAGGTCTTTGTGAGGACACAGTAAAAACAGCTTTCTAGGAATCATGACATGAGTCCTCCCAGGCCACCAAGTCCATCTGCCAGAATCCTTATCTTAGACTTCCAGACTCTGAGGCCAGAACTATGAGAGCTTCTGTTGTTGATAAGTGACTCTCTTTGTATTTTGCTATAGCAAACTAAACAGGCCCAAATTCATAATCAGTGAAATAATCTATTGATGGCTTATTAAATAATAAACCAGAACAATAACTAAAAGAAAAACAAGTGATTTGAAAGGTAGAGTACTAAAGAAATTACCTAAAACATGGGATGAAAAAAATCAGTTAGCAAACTGAGAATAGAATGAAAAGTCTTAGCATATATATATATATAGAGAGAGAGAGAGAAAGAAAGAGAGAGAGAGCACAAGGGTTTCAGAAAAAAGGAAAAGGGTAATTAAAAAGTGGTAATACTCAAAGAGATGATAGTAACATTTTCTAGACATAAATAAAAGCATGAGGCATTACCTTTTAAAGGATGTGTGCTCTTAGAACTTTACCAAAAAAAAAAAAAGAAAAAGAAAAAGATACGCATCCTAGTGAACCTAGAAAAACAAGAGACAACTTTTGAAGCCATCTATGAGAAATGATTATGTAACTAAAGCCAAGCACCAATCAGCATGACAGAAGAATTGTAACTGGGGAAAATAAATGCCAAAAAGCAAAAGAAAAATATTTTAAATGTTCTAACCAAAATAACGGTCAAACTAAAGTTCTTACTGTGCAAAACTAATATTCAAAACATGAGAGTAAAGACAGTTTTAGACAGAGAATAATGGAGTCTGTTCTTCCTGCATCCGCGGTCCTTCTCCCCGAGACAGTCCCCTAAACACAGAACTTCAGCAAAAATCAAAGCAGGAAAGATGAAGTGGAATTTGAGAAGTCCTGGTGGGGAAAAGATTCCATTTTCATTTGCAAATCTAAACAAAGGTGGACTCCATAAAATATTAACCATAGTAACTAATGATGAAGGTTTATCTAATAACACAGCACAGCCAACATAACAGAATAACAATCACACTAAAGATATGATGTGTTCAGAAGGAAACTAAAGCTAAGTTACCAGCATTTTAAGGAAAATAACAGGGAGAAAATAAACCAAGTGGGCTTACAAATGGAGGAAATACAGTTAAAATTTTTTTATAAATCTCTGACAATAAGATTATACTCTTGTCAAACAAAATTAATACTAACCTTTTTTTTTTGTAGCAAAGACTTTTAGTGGGCATCATAGTTTACAAATGCACCAGAGAATCATGCAATGCTGCCTGCATTGGTTGCAATTCTGGGCCACAAGTCTGCACACTCCTTTGCAACTGGACCTGTGATGGCGGAACCTTTCATCTCGCGTTTGTTATTTACTATGACCCCTGTATTATCTTCAAAATAAAGAAACACCCCATCTTTTCTTCGGCATGACTTTCGTTGTCAAATTGCCACTGCTGGATGGACCTTTCTGGTTTGCCCTTCTTCACTGTGGCCATCACCATGTCACCCACACCAGCGGCAGGAAGTCTGTTCAGTCGTCCCTTGATTCCCTTCACAGAGATGATATACAAATTTTTGGCTCCTGTGTTGTCAGCGTAGTTGATCACTGCTCCTACAGGAAGACCCAGGGAAATCCGGAATTTCACACTGGAGGACCCACCACGTCCTCGCTTCGACATCTTGGATGCTTAGAGAGAGGTAAAAAGGAAGTAGACACAAAGGACAGGAGCATTTTTCAAATATTTTTCCTCAATGGATTAACATTTTCAAGAAATTGAAAGGCAATGTGTCCAGAGAAGGTTTGCCTGTTTCTTCAATATATGTTGAGGAGCCAGTTCACACAGAAGTAAACGGGCTATTTAGCTTCTAAGGCAAATATTTATTTTTATTAGCACATATTAATTGTACAAAATAATGGACTATTTATTATGACTTTCTCATACCTGTATATACTTCGATCATATTCACCTCCCATTATCCCCTTTTCCCCAAACTCTAAAATAGCTCATTAAAATAATCTTAGTTGTGGGGACAAGTGAGATGGCTCAGGTAAAAGCACCTGCTGCCAAGTTTGATGGCCTGAGTTCAGTCCCTGAACCTACATAGTGGAAGGACAGAAGCAAGAACAGCAAGCTGTCCCTGACCTCCATGCATATACCTTGGCACATGAGTACCCAAACTAAATAAATAAATACATATTTTTAAATTTAAGTGATAATAATCTCAGTAATTCTATATACTTTACAAATTAAAAAGGAAATATTTCCTAACATTTGAGAAGCTGAGATGGAAGAATATTGTAAATTTGAGGCCAGCCTGGGCTACACAGAGAGACTCTGGTGCTCCCTGTTCCCAAGAAGGAAGGAAGGAAGGAAGGAAGGAAGGAAGGAAGGAAGGAAGGAAGGAAGGAAGGAAGGAAGGAAGGGAAGGAAAAAGAAATAAAGATGTGTCTTTTCCCTAAGATTTCAAAGTCTTTAAAAGCCCTCAAGAATGGTACCTCTTCAAAAGGCTGAGGCAGTAGGATCACTTGAGCCCAAAAGTTAAGGTCAGCCTCAGCTATATAGCAAGACCCTGTCTCAAAGAAAAACAGTGAATGTCATCTATTACCTTGACCTAAAAGATTTTTCAAGGATTCCTTTCACTTTTTGTGGGTTGAAAAAAATTTTTCACTAAGCTGGGTGTGGTGGCACACACCTTTAATCCCAGCAGGGAGGCAGAGGCAGGCTGATCTCTGTGAGATCAAGTCCAGGCTGATCTACACAGTAAGTTCTCTGCCAGCTGGGGCTACAAGGAGACCAAAAATTCTACTAAAATAGTAATTATTAGTTAAATAATTCACTGATATCAGCATATCTCTGTCACCATTAAAATCACTTGTAAATGCAACTATAAAATTGTATTCTAATTTTTTATTGCACCAACTAGCCACTACTGCCTCAAAATAACCATTTTTGCTTGACAAAAAGTTGCTAATATTCTAACTTTTGTTTTTTGTCTTGGTGCTTGTGGGAGACTTAATTGCAACTCACATAGGCAATTATTAAGGCCTGAATAGAAAATGTTTAAATTAAAAATACTATGTTCATATTCAAGAATCATTGTAATTGGTCTATTAAACAGCAGCTTTGCAGCAGGGTCTACATTTTTATTTGCTTCATTACTTAAAACTAAATAGCAATTATTAGCATATTGCAGTGACTAAGTATTCCATAGTTTACATTGTTGGTTTTAACAGCTTTGTATTGACTCATTGCCAATTTCTATATTCATTTAATATTGATTCTGAGATAGGTGGTGTTTTGGCTGAATTCTCTGCTTTTATATCATCTTTTTTTTTTTTTTGGTCTTTTTAAGACAGGGTCTCCCTGTAGCCCCAGCTGTCCTGGAACTTACTAGGTAGACCAGGCTGGCCTTATATCATCTTTAAAAAGAAAAAAGCTAGAAGGAATCCAATGAGGAAGATGACTGCATTAGTTAAGATAGGATGGGCTGTGAGCAGTAACGATCTCCACAATGACTTACTTCTCTCTCTTTATATGTCTATTACCAGTTGGCTATGAATCAACTCCACGTCACCTTCACTATGGTGCTGAGGTGATGGACAGCTCTGCTAGGGCAATACAAGCCTGTATAGCAGACAAAGAAGCACCATATCTAGAAGCTTGAGATGGCTGTCTTAGCATCTGTTGGAAGTACCATGCACACCAGTGCTCTCATTTTCTTGAACAAAGCGAGTCATATAAATAATCCTGGATGCATAATCCTCTCATGGGAGAGAGATCACAAGGAGAGAGAGGGGAGAGGAGCACCAAAGTATACTGAGCAGTCCTACAACACACCACAAGGAACATTTCAGGGTTTTTCATAAAAATATGGAAAGAAGCACTTCCACATAGAACTCATAAAGGAAAAATTTTCCTATTTATCCATGGAAGACAAATGGTGATCCTCATTTAAGAAAAAGTAAAGTACACATACATGAAGCCCACTGACCTGCAATGTTGGACAGCAAGACAAATAAGGAAAAATATAATTCTATACTGAAAAGCAAAAATTGGCTTGATTTTTTAACTCAATTATTCCCTGACTTTCTAGCAAGGAAATGAATGGAGCAAGGGAATAGAATCTTCACTATCGGAGAATTTTAAAAGCTTGATCATGTGTAGAAAGAAGGGGGAGGATGACAACAAGGAGAAACAGGAGCAGGAGGAAGAGGTGGACGAGGACAAGGAGATGACGGGAAAGGAAGAAAGAAAAGAAGGAAGGGAGAAAGGAAGGAAAGAAAGGAAGAAGGAAGAGAGGGAGGAGGGAAAAGAAATTTCTTTAATTTCATTTTACATAGGGATAGATAATATGCTTAAGAGGTCCCATCAGTTAGCTTTTCATCACTGTAGCAAAATACCTGAGAGCAGTAAGACGGCTCAGTATATTAAGGCACCTAACAACAAGTCTGATGACCTGAGTTCAGTTCAAGGACCCACACAGTGAAGGGGAGAGCCAACAACCAAAAGTTGTCCCTTGACCTCCAAACGCATTGTTCATGCCACACACATGTGCACACATGTACATACACTAAATAAATGTACTAATACATTAAATAAAATTCTAGTACCGCACTAATACGAATCACTCTTTGGAAATACCTGAGAAAACAAACTTAGAGGAGCAAAGATTTATTTGGGCTCAAAGTTTCAGAAGTTTCAATCCGAAGTCAGCTGAATCCACTACTTTGGACATGGGGCAAGGCAGACATCAGAGGAGCACAAGCATGTACAAGAGGAGGCTGTTCACTTCTTGATAATCAGGAAGAAGAGAGAAGCAACAGGAAGACCCGAGGACAGTGCACCCCACCAGAGGCACACTCCCAAGGGATCTATTTCCTCCAACTGGTTCCTACCTCCCAAAGTCCCCTTCCGCAAATAATATGGTCAATGATGTTTCCGTCAATGGATTAAGCGATTGATGACATCAGCGTCATCATGATCCAATCTTTTCTCACTACCTTCACCTCTAAACTTGATGTATTATAGACCATGCCTTTAACATATGGGCCTTTGGGGGCAAGATTTCATACCCAAACCATAACAAAAGAAGAGGCTAAAAAAGTTTAAGTTTTAACTAATTTTGACTATTTAATACCACTAAAATCAATAGCACTTCAAGTAGTCTTATGATTTATATTTCAAAATCTTAGAGAAGCTTAGTAAGATTATTCATTTTGAGTTTTTAAATTTTTTTTTTTTGTCTTTTTGAGACAGGGTCTCCTTGTAGCCTCAGCTGTCCTGGAACTCACTATGCAGACCAGGCTGGCCTTGAACTCACAAAGATCCATCTGCCTCTGCCTCCCAAGTGCTAGGATTAAAGGCGTGTGAGAACCCCCTAAATTCTCAAATTTCCAGTATTTGAAAATTATCTTTTTTGCTTTTATTCAAGGAAGTAATTTTTTAAATATTTTATTATTTTTATTTTATGTGTATGTGTGCATTGCCTGCATGTGTGTAAGTGCACCCAGGTTGTGAAATGCCCACAGAGGTCAGAAGAGGGTGTTGGCTCCCCTGGAACTGGAGTTATGGATGGTTGTTAGCCACCATGTGGATGCTAGGAATCGAACATGGGTCTTCTGCAAGACCAGTCAGTGCTCTTAACCCCTGAGCCACCTCTCCAGTCCCAAGGAAATATTGTTATTTTTTGGTCTTTTCAAGACAGGGTCTCCCTTTAGCCCCAGCTGTCCTGGATTCACTATGGAGACCAGTCTGGCCTTGAACTCACAGAGATCCACCTGCCTCTGCCTCCCGAGTGCTGGGATTAAAGGCATGCACCACCACGCCCAGGCAAGAAGTAAATTTTTAAATTTTCTTTTACATTTCTTTATTTACTGGAGGATGGGGAGCATGTATCCTACAGCACACAAGAAAGTCAGAGGATAACTTGCAGGAGTCAGTTCTCTCCTTCCATTATGTGGATCCTGGAGAACTAACTCAGGTTTGCAGGCTTGGAGGCAAGTACCTTTACCTGCTGAGCTATCTCACTCTGGTTCCTTTCTTTTCTTTTAGATGTTGAAGAACATGGCAGGACTACAAAGGCTCCAGGCAGATGTGGTTTAGTTCTCTATAATAACCTAGCCCATTCCTCAGAGACCACAGTTCATCTGAAAGACACTCAATACCTCATCCAGCTCGGTGAGGACACATTGCTTCCTCTCAAGGCTGAGGGTGGGGGGTTGTTGGATGATTACAAGGAAGCAGCATTTTCCAGACACAACAGGGCAGTTGTGCATATGAGCTTACAGCAATTGTGTCAGCATGCACAATGACTTGAACAAGCTCAAACCAGACAAAAGCCCAGCATAGAGAGGGGAGGTAGGCACAAAGTCCCACCCCTAGCTGAGGAGCAGCTATTGGCCATTGATAAATGCTACCAGATGGAAAGTCAGTTTTCTTTAAGCATGTTGGTTGTCCCTAGCTCCAATGGATGACCACACACCAAGAGTATATAGGCAGCACAAATTGGACTAGATGGGTTTTTGAAAAATGAGAGCTCAAAGTTGGGTGGATAGGGAAGGTGGTGTGGATCTGGGAGGAGTTAAGGGGTTAATATAAGCAAAGTACATTGAGAAAGATACCCAATGTCAACTTCTGGCATGCCTGTATATATGAATACATACATATATAAATACATA